TGGCAGAAGAAATCCCTTCCCTATATATTTGTACAGTGCTTTGCCATCTGGAATTTTCCTTGAGCTGCAGCAATAAAACAGCAGCAATACAAATCAAGTTAGCTAAATTCCACCTTCTATACTGTGTTAACATTGGTCCTACTCTGTACACCTGACCCAAAATGACCTCATAAATTGAACTGAGCAAGTATTTAATGAAAGTGGCAAAAGAAAGTGGCAAAGACACAAACAGCTGCTTTTGTTTGCATTAGCTAACTGGGTGAAACCCTGCTGACAATCTAAAGCCACAGTTATGAAACAGGAAGAACATATATCCCTTGGGAAAACAACTAGGCCCCTGAACTGGGTTCTGATGGATGTAATCAGATAGAAGTTAAAAGTACATATCATTCAGATATGCAAAATACTATGAAGAGAACCCAATCATCTGATATATTAAATACTGACTAGAGCACAGGACATTAATCATAACATGGGGAGGTGGGAAGAGAAGGGAGTGCATGCAGTGGACTAGTAAGAACCTGCTGCCACTGAACTCAAATGGCAAAAACCCATCCCTCTAGCTTCATTGGCTGGCCAAGGTGTTTTATAGCTGAGTAGCAGATGAGTGAATCACTCACAACCTGAATCAGGCTCAGATTCTGGGGAACTGACTGGCAGCTCGTTAGATTTATTACCAGACAGCACAGCTCCTGACTGTAACAGCACTTGCTGGAGCAGTTTGCTTTGGGCTCTAAGCTGCATGAATGTTGCTACAGTGCTACACTAATGGCTCTCTGAATGGTTTCTACAAACACAACCACTTCTATTCTGTCAATACATGCACTTACTGTTGTACAGTGTTACACTGCTTGGCTGCTAAGCAGGACCAGCCTAGGCAACACTTTTGGAACAGAATATGTGTTCTGCATGAACACATATTCTGATGAGCTGGTGAGCTCACAACTTCTCACAGGGGTCTGGGTAGCTCCACTGAGAGCTCTGTGAACTTGCAGCAAGTTCACAGAGAATCTATAAACCACCATTTTTGGTGTAATTGAGAGGTTTGGGGTGAAACTCTCCTTACTATCCACCGGTGCAAAAGAGAAGGAAGAAGGCCTAGCATTACACAGACAAACTGAGGGAAGGCTAGGCTAACCATTCCAAAAGTTATATACATCAAATTGCCTTCTCTGCTTGGTTCTTTCAATGTCTTTTAGGAAGTGATACCCTATACTTTATGACAGCTATAAGTAAATGTTGAGCAGGGTTCCCTTTCTTGTTTACTTCCAGCTCTCTCCAAAGGTTCCCTTTTCTCTGTTAATTATACCCATCAGCCATGTGTCTACAGCTTCGTGGTTCTCTTACTTAAGTCTACTAAATTAACTCCCCTGCACCTGCCCCCCAACTGTTTTTGTTGCTGAAAACTCCTGCTTCAGCCCTGGCAGTCTTACCCAAAACAACAGAAATTTAGTCTTTCAGCAAAGTTACACACCTGAACCACAGTGGGGTAACATGAGATCCCATGTCTGATTTGTGGCTCCGGAAGAAGAAAGCAAGAGGTGCATTTGGGATGTGGCCCTGTAATTACAGGAGACACCACACTGTTCAGAGCCTTGCAGGCTGTTGCTGTGTCCATCTAAATCTGATTAAATAGATGAACTGAGGGCAGTTCATCATCCACGAAAAACAACAGGGATGATAGGAAGTGCTTTTCATGAATGCTGCAACCTGGGGATTCAGCAGCGTCATTGAACTCTACACCCTGCTAGCTGCAGTTCAAATGGTTGGCTTTGCACATGTACTTTGGCTATTTAGAATGTTTTTTTTTAAATATAGTTTCTATTGTCAACTTCATTAGGGCTTCATACATATTGTCAGAATGATGACACCATCTTAAGAATACAACTTTTTTTTTTTTTTAAACATATTTTCTTCCTGTGATAGTGGTGGATTCAAGCTATAGCAGACAATGGCAATGCCAACAGCAGATAGTGGCTAAACACTGACAACCTCTGTGAGACTGGAGCGTGTTAAGATGATCACTGGCCACTACGTAAGGCAAATCAGTTTTTAAGTTAGAACTTCTGGATTATCTGGATGAGAAAGAAACAATGGATTGACCAGAAATAGATTTGGATAGTATGGCATAGTAGTTCCATAAAGATGGGCAGTTGAAAGCTTTAAAAGGAAGTGTGTCTCAATAGCTATTTTAGACTTTCCCTTATCTTTTCCTGCTTTAGCCTCAAACCTGCTACGTCAAACGGAATGAAAAGAGCCTATCCTGATTCCAATACATACGTCAGAAACAGGAGACAAATAATGTAAGAAACGTTCATGAATTTTTCCAATCCAGGCATATCAATTGAAGTAAAGATTGATTATTTTAAAAATCTCTGCTTGTCTTAGATGTTTATCTATCATTAGTTACAGGATGAAAAAACACTGGCCAAAGATTTCTGACTTTGGAAAGAGATCTGTACATCTGTATTCCCAGAGCAAACCTAGCAGAGAAGAGACTCAGCTTCTAAACTGCATCTGGATATCAGGAAACTTAAATGCACCCCACCTGACTGAGGTGAAGCAGCCTGGTTAAGTGTACAGCCAGAAAGCTGAGGTGAAGCAGCCTGGTTAAGTGTACAGCCAGAAAGCTGAGGTGAAGCAGCCTGGTTAAGTGTACGGCCAGAAAGCCTCACCTTCAGTGCGCCTGCCCAGCTACCAGAGACACGGCTGCAAGCATTTCACAAAGCTCTCCTCAGCACAACAGCAGGCATTTACTCCTTTGTGTTCAGGTCTGATCACCTGCTCTTCATCTCTGGGCTGACCGGGTACTGAAGATTGTCCAGGTACTGAAGTAGCAGGATGGCAATAGTGGAAACCAGTGTTATTCAGGAAATAGGCAGCACTTTGTCACTGCAAACCACTGAGCAGGTATTATCTGCCTGATTTCCTCAGTGGTTGGAACGGGATTTTTTGGCCCTTCAAGTGGGAATCCTGTGCTATAGAGAAGTACATTTATCTAGAGTGTCCTGTAAAGATAATTTTGCCAAACTGTGAGCTTACAGCCTGGCACTACTGCGGGTGTCAGTGGAAATGACATTTCAGTTACGGTATTAAGCTCTAAAAAAGGCAAATTTATGCTTTGAATACAATTGAGAAGAGAATTTTATTGTAAAACCTAGATCTTTGTGGAAGCTGCTTAAGATTTCACAGGGAAAGCTGAGCCTGAGTACTTGAATACATGTCCATTAAAATAAATCCACCAGGTAAGTCTCCTTAAGTTTTGGAACTTATCCACCTTGTCTGATTTCCTGGTACTTGTTCATACAGGTTTTGCCCTGTGAGCACACCTTTGATTAGCTATGACATGGCACCTTTCCTTTCAAATGAATCTTATTTTGAAACTTCTTTGTATTTAAAATCCATCTAGACTTCCTCCATCAAGGGCTTTGGGACACAACTCTTTCCTTGCTTGTTCTATTAATTCAGTGTATTTTCTTCCATTTAAAAAAAATTAATATTGGGTCTTGAATGTCCGGGAATATCCCCATATAATAAGGGAAACACGTTTTACTTGGAAATGCTGAGTCATTCTCAACTCCCAGTTTGTACTGGGAAGAGAATGGGGGAGTGCATTTTTGGAATTGCATCACAGAGCCTGAGTGGCAATCCAAAAAAAGGAAATTACTCTCTATTCATACATATTTATGCATAACATGTAGGAAATGTCATTTCTCAAGAAAGCGGAGAAAAACCTTCGCATTTCTGAGCTCTCTCTTTTGCACTCTCAGCGCTCATTTTAAATAGCATCTCTCTGCTCCAACCCAGAGATGTGGCACAAAATGTAACATCTGAACCTACTCCCTTTCTGGTAAAAACACCCCTTTAATTTTGTTCCAGTCAACAGGTGGCTTATTATTTGACTCTAGTCCTTTTGAACATATTTTTGCTCTAGGTTACAATTCCTTGCTTCAACACACAAAAAAAGCAACAGTCCTCGGTTCCTTTATATGTTTGGGGGGTTTTAAATCCTTCTTTTGAATTATGATTTTTCTTTGTCTCATTCGTGAAGCCCCATGTTATGTGGCCTTAGCATAACAAAACTCCCCAGAGGCGTGCTGCTGACTTTCTGTGCAAACGCACATTCGGCGAGCTATGCTGGATGCTCATTTGAGGCACTCGTCACCCTTTGCAAACCAGACGTTTAAGATTCAGCATAAAGATATTCGAACTTGTTTTACATAGTATTTGTGCCAGTTAAATGTGGCACTAGCTGCATTTAACTGGCACAGTTAAATGTGGCACTAGCTGACTTGATTCAGCCTTGATTAAATGTGTCTGGGAGACTTAATGTGCTACAAACCTGGATTCTGGTATTAAAAAGCATGTTATTGATGGCTGGCACTGTTCAACAGAAGCCAAATTACCTGGGAGCCTGCTCTGTCAGAAACTGTGTAAATCTACACAAAAATGGTGCTGTGCAGCCTGTGCTCCCCGCTCGGTGATGTTGTCAGGCATCGCCGGTAAGAATCGGTAAATTTCCTTCCATGAAGTGCCAGCGAAACCAGCCAGCAGCCGGGCACTGCATCAGGGGGGTTAAATTCACTCTGTGCAGAGTCTCTCTCCCCTTCCCAACTTTGTCAAAAAAACTCTGGCAGCCACCGGGCCGGGCCCGTCCCCACAGAGGTGTCGCGAATGCCGCCGTGGGCCAAGGAACGTGGGCAAGGACGGGATTATTCTCGCGGCGGCGGTAAATGCCCTGGGATGAAGGACCCGCGTGTTGACGCTGTTTCACCCGGGCGGGAGGGCCAGTCCCCGGCTCAGGGATGTCGTGGCCAGCGGGTGGCTCGGTGGCAGGCGCTCCCCGGCTCCTTCTCCGCCGCCGCGGGAGCGCGCCCGGGGCACCGCGGCCGCGCCTCCTCCTGCCCCGCCGGCCGCCGCTGCCGACCCGCCCCGCCCGCGCGGCCCTCCGCGCTGCCGGAGCGTCAGCGGGAATTTCCAGCCAGGAAGTGCGGCGGGCCGGGGGCAGGGGCGGTGCTGCGCAGGCCGGTGCCGGGCGGGTGCCCTCGCCGGTGGGGCGGGCGGGAAGGAGGGGGAAAGTCCGCGCGGAGCCGGGAGGCGGCACGCCGCGTTACATGGCGCGGCGCTGAGGGACCGCCGGCGGCACTGCACGACGAGGAGGAGGCGCCGCCAGCTCTGCCCCGGTGAGCCCCAGGCGGCCCCCGGCCCGCCGCTCGCTGCCTTCTTTCTCCCCTGTCCCCGCGTCCTCAGCTCGGCTCCCTCTGTCCCGCAGCGGCGGGAGCGGGGCGGGAGCCGGCATTTCGCTGGGGTGGGCTGGGGCAGCGCGGCAGCCCCCGGAGCTCCGCTTTGCCGCGGGAGGCTGTGCCCGGTCCAGTTCCGCGCCTGTGACCTCGGCCCGGGCGCGGAGCTCCCGCTGGAGCGCCGGGAGGGATTGCCGCGGCTTTGCCTGCAGCCAGCCCGGGGGGCGGGGGGATGCCGGCTTTGCTGCTGCTGTGCTGCCGGGGTGTTCCTAGCGAGAGAGGGGGTGTCCCTGACAGCAAAGTGAACAAAATTTGCAAGCCCAGCTTCTGCCGCTCGCATAGCGGGTGCTCGTAGGCAAAGGAGGTGCTGCTTTTGTCGCTTTTGGTTTCGGAGGTGACACACGTACGTGCTGAACCTGAGGCGCGGCCGGGGCACAGCCGCCGGCCGGGCTCGGGAGTGCAGGTGGCCACCAGGAAAAGGCGGGTTGATCCTGGCAGCTCTGGGTGACCTCGTCTTGGGTGCAGCCCCAGAGTGCCGCAGATTGTATTAAAAGGTACGGAATAGTGAGGTTTTTAAAGGTAATTTAGTTGCAAGTGGTGAAACCGACAAGTTCTATTCGCGCCGGGGAGTATTACTGCACTGATTGCTTGGTTACATTTGACCTTGAAACCCAAGAACATCGAACTTCTCATCACCACAGTTATTTTTTTCATCTATTGGTGCTTTCTGCTTTGATGGTAACTTTGGTGAAGGAGTGCTACTGACTTATTTTACGTGAACGCGAATCGGAGTATTGTGTCTGTGACATGAGGTGCGTGCTCTTGGGCCATTATCATCATGTGTACCGCTGTGTATTTTCAAAATAGGTAAATCTCGGTGCCTGTGAGCATTTGGGGAATAACACTTTGGAGGCAAGGGATCGTCTGCTGCATTTCAACTTCCTGTCTTAAAATGCTCAAAATCTTTGCTTAAGAATAACATTTTAAAGGAAATACAGATTATTGTTATCATGTTTTTTTAAAGGGTTTTTAAGTGCTGATTATATTTGTGCTTCAGAAGTCCTCTTTTCACTTACTCTGTTCACAGAGAAAAGTGGATGAAATCTTTGCTCTATCGCCTTGTGCCTTACACGCTGCAGGGTGCTGCCACCAGCACTGTCAAGCTCACAGAATAGGGTTGAAAATAGAGCATTTCGATTTTATTGACATTCTGGAGTCTCTCTGCTACGTACTGTGTAGTGTCAACTTTTGAAATAGTATTTCAGTCAAAGCATTTGTGTTCTTTCATGAAAGAAAGTAGCTGCCCGTTCAAGGAAAGCGTTAACCAAGATGTCATTCTAAGATAGCATCCTGTCTGCAGTGTTTTGTAATCTACAGAAATTACTATAGTTTATGAGAAAATGAAAGAGAAAAAAGTAGCCTGTAACCACCCAGAAACAGATGCTCTGTTCCGTAACTTTCCCTGGCCCGAGAATTTAACTAACAGTTACGCTGAAATACTGTTGTCAGGATGTGCCGCAGAGTGTGGAGATTTCAGGGAATCTCAGTGCTGAAATCTCTGCGAGATATGTTAAATATGAAATACGAAACAGAAGGGAGAAAGCTTTTTTTCTTTCCATCCTTTGTCCCCTTTATAAAAAAAGAAAAGTCAGTGGTAGGGTCATCAAAAAATGTAGTAATTTTCTCATGCAAGAAATTAATACATTTTGAGTTAAGATCATAGAACAGCTTTATATCACTTTGCATTGTGTTGTGTGTTTTTAAAAAGCTGTGTTTTAACAGATAAACTTCCTATCTGTACTCACTTTGTTCCTTTGTTCCAGCAACACCTAGTAATGTTTCTGTAGTATTTATTTTGAAATAAGAAAAGTTCGCTGGATAAAAGTGCTGGGACAGAGAAAAGCAGTAAGAGGGAGGGTAGAAAGCAGACTCTGGTGTTTCTTTTATGTGCAGATTTGAATATTTCCTGCTTCATTTGTTGAAAAATAGCAGTGCTGGTTATTTCTCTGTTACTATGTATTTTACTTTTGGAAATTAATTTAAATAATAAATGTAAGTTTACATTAAAATTTCACTTCTAAAAATTCACTAATTTAATTTATTTTTTTCCTTGAGGTGGCATTATGTGACTTCAATAATAGATACCTATAAATAAATATCATTGACACAAACTTGCTAATTAATAGATTTTTGTTTGCTTTTCATTGTTGCCTTTTCCAAAACCTTCCCATGCCACTTTCTCATGAATACATGCAAACTCCAAAAACATGTCCAGTTAGGAATTCATATTATTGTGCATATTTTTGACTCTGGAAGGACAGGAACTAAGTTTGAAGGCCTGTGAGTCTTTACTATAGAAGGTGCTTGTAATGCAAAGTAGATGTTCATATTTGAAGTTACAAAGATACAGTGAAAGACAATATATCTTTTACTAACTTACAGTTGGTTTTTTGATATAGCTAGTGTTCAGAAAATTCACCTGTGGTCTTCAGAGAAGCTGGTTAATTCTCCTGTGTTTTCATAGATTGCTTCAAACTGTGCTTGCTATAATACTTTCACCTTTCAGTGCTGTAAGTGTTTGCCAACTCTAAGTTCAAAAGTATCAGTCATAAAGAAAATTGTTACTTGTTTATGTAAGCAACTAATGAAAACTCTACAGTTAGTTGAAAATCCTTTCTTTCAACATACTGATAGCTGTCTTTTGGTTCTCTGACAAAATAACACAGCTATTATAAAACAAAGAGAAGATAATTAATGTTTTAGGCAAGTAATGAAAAAAGCAGTTCCTGGTTTTGGTCACTTTTAGCTCTGACTAAAAGGTATTTTAGAAGTGGAAGTTGTAATTTGATGTCCTTTAAATAAGCTGTGAACCTTTTATGAAGTTCTGTGTTGATAAGATCGTAATTATGGTTGTCATTAACTGTGCCCTTAGGTCAGTCAGGCACTAGGTTTGCATCTAACTTTGAGCATAGAAATAATTCAGTGAATCTTCTTCAGTGCTTTCATTTAAACATGTATTTTGGTGAAGCACTGTTGACAGTTTCAAAAGTAAGGCCTTAAAAGATGTTTCAAATTATTATGGTCTCAAGGTAAAATCCTTTGTTTAGCATTTAGGAGCTGACAGATCATGTGTGGGGAGGAAGCTTCTACTGCTACTCCAAGCATTGTTTCCCTCTTTCAACTTCTGTGTTCTTTTGAAAAGCAGTGGCAGATAGGTACACTTTCTCCCCAAATTCCCTGTTTCCCTCCCCAAAAATACTAAACTGAAATGCCCCCATGTTTTATTGTCTCCTCCAAGCAAACTGTCAACAGGTCAAGAGCAAAGTAGGTCTGAGTTGTGTGGTTTGGGTTTGTTTGGGGTTTTTTTTTTTTGCTTGGGTTTGGCTTTATTTTTTTTGTTTCTTCTAGAGGTCATGTTTCCATCTGCCTAAACACGACAGATTCTAGCACACAAAGTATAAACAAAGGAAGCAGGTGGGTTTTTGGTCTTATTAGTTTAGTCCAAGTGAGTTTTGTTGTGTCATAGGTTACTGTGCAACACTGAGACTGCAGGAGTTTTGCAATTTCTTCGGAAAAAGCAAAAAAATGAAACCTTAGTTACCCACTTCACATCTGTAGATTTGAAAACTGGATATGACTGTGATGGTGTGGACTCAGCTCTACCTGTTTGGTTCCTCTTACTGGTGCTATTTAAGCACTTGATTGTCATATTATGATTGCAGTGGCTGTTCAGAACCAAAAGGACGCTGAGAATCCTTTAGTTCAACCTTTGTGATTGCAGTGGAAACAGCCCTGGCTATTTTCTGTTCATGAAGTGAGGGACTGTGTCTTCAGTGAGAGCCCAGAGCCTGTGACTGTACCTGGTGGTACAGCAAACCTTGTGTGAGCTGAACTTCTGCAACTGGGGCTTACTTGTTGCTTGAAAACACTGTTCTTCCCATGCCCCCTCTACCCCTGCCAAAAGAAAAAAAAAAAAAAAAAGGGAAAGGTTTGCAGCCTAATATTAATGATTCATTACACTTCAGGCTTATGAAATGGGCGTGTGTGGCTTCTTAAGTTAAAATTTGACTTTGATGAACAGCTTTTATAGGAGCTAGAGCTACTTGCAAAGAACATTCAGTGATTGAGCTTAATCTGGAGGAAAAAGTAACAGCATTTTAATATCATATTCAGGAGTTCAAGTAACATTAGCACCCCACATGGGTAAAATACAATGTAGTTACTACAGCTGTTTTTCTGTGTTGAACCTCAGATTTTTACATCTACTTAGCATTATACATGTACCAGAATATGTTTGCCATATATTTGAATACTGTTTGTTCCTTTGATTTAAGTTGCATTGAATGTGTTTCATCAAAAACATTCTAACTTTATTCCAACAATATAATGGAAAAACAGTTTGTATGTTTATGGTATTTTAGTATTTCCTCTTGACATATTAGTTCACTACTTTGATACTTGGGAAAGGAATAAAACAAAAATTCTGTTTCCAAACATAGTTAATAGAATATCTTTTAGGTAGTCCAGTTACTCTTTGCCAAGGAAATTTTCTTACATTATGATATTTTTTTTCTTCAGATTTAGTTGTTACATGCTGTAATAAATTTCGTTCTAGATTTCATAAAATTATGCACCCAGCAATTCTGATTTAGAGCACCACACTTGTGAAATCTCAAGTACTTGTGATTGATGTAATTTCCAAAATATTCTGTACTTTTTATACTGTTGTCAAGTAATGTATCTGCTCATGACTGAGAATACTTGGAAATTTTAATTTCAGCAATTTTAAAATTTAAAAAATACATAAACACAACTGCCAGGTCCCACCCAACAGGAAATAATAAGCAGGCTTAATTAGTCACAAGAGGAGACAATTTGGGTTGTTATATTAGAAAAACAAACAGTGTCATTTAGGGTTATGTAGTGTTATTGCAGCTGCAACG